TAAATATACTTCAAATAGCACTTTGATTTCCTATTTTTTAAAATGTGTTGTTATAACCTTTATTTTTATAAAAATATGCGAAAACTTCCCTCAAATTACTTTTTACAAAAGAATGACATAAAGTAATGCTTATATGCCTGTTTTGCCCTTTTATCCTTTTAAAAATGTCTTGGGGTTGTGTATTATTTTATTTACTTTGTGTAGGGGAGTTAAATGCACTTCAACGTCCATTTAACCCACTTCAATTAAATACTTAGTTTGAAAATTTTTTAAATTTATATGTCAATTCTAACATAAATATTATTTACTTACATAAATAATGATGCTAACTTAAATAAAAAAAAAAATGCTATTGAATGTACATATATTTTAAAAATAAATATATAATTTATTTATAAAATAATTAAAAATTGAATATATTTGACAGGAATATATAAGTAAGAATTTAGGTAAAATTGTTTAAAGTAATATACAAAAGTGTAGAACATGCCACATATATGTATGTGTATATATATGGGTGTGTATATATATGGGTTAAGTGAAGAAAAAAAAATCCCTAAATTATACTTCGCACATTACTTTGACTCCCTATTTTTAGTTGTAAGTGTGCGAGGAAACACTCCTCAAATTATTTATTACTTGTGTCATTTTTTGTCATTTCACAAAATCATGGTTTTTTTTTTTTTTTTATTTTTTATTTTTTTTTTTTTATAAAAAATAATTTATAAAATATTTACAAAAGGATAATTTGAGCAAACTTTAACTTTAATTTATTTGGTAGGACTTATTTGTACAATTTAATACTTTAAGGATGTTTTGTGTGCACTTATAAAATGTGATATGCATTAAGAGTAGTAATATTTACACTGAATACTTGAGTGAATTGTCTAACCGAATAATTTTTAATTGGCTATTATACCAAATATAATTAAGTGGAGGACTCTACTTCCTTATTTGTTGAATAATTGACCAATTAAAAGGATAGGTCTAGCAATTCACTGCAACTAGTCGGTGCAAAAATCATTTTCCTAAACATAATGGAGAGATGTTGTTCACTCTTAACTTGTTGAAAATTGCAAATGTTAACATAAAACCTTATTATATAAACTATCCCAATATATGAAGCACAAACAATTCTACGAATAAGTTGTACTGGTGTCATGTTGAACTTTTTCTTGAAAAAAAAGAATTGACATTATACATATGATCACAAGTGAAGCATTAAATGATATTTGTTCATTTAAAATAAAAATACTATTATGACTAAGTAGTGAAATAACTATATATGATGTAAAAGTCATTACAATTCTTAGTATAAGGATTAAAAATGAATTAAATTTTATAGTATTATTACTCAATACATGTATATAATAAATAAAAATTCAAATTTATATGTAATTGTGTCTAAACAGTAGTACCTATATCCACTTTTTAAAATTTAACATTTCTAACATTTTAAAATGAAGAGAGTTAAACTGTGCATTCACAATCGCACATCTCATTGGTTGAAAAATAAATTGTAATTAATTTATCTTTCTCATTTTTTTGAAATTATAAAAGTTCAACTTTAAGACGAAATTATCTTTTAAAATTATTTTATCTTCTTTATACATAATAACCTTCCTTCTTTCCTTTGTTACATCTATTTAACTTTATTTCTTTTTTTATTTTTAACAATTGTCTTCTTTTTTTTTTTTCTTTCTTTTCTGATTGGATATATATGGTTATACTTCATTCTTTACTTTCTTTCTTTTTTTTGTTCACTTGTCTTTTATATATATATATATATATATATATATATATATATCAACCTTGATGGATTTTTTATTATATTTTATGTAATTTAATTGAAATAACGGCGTGGGATTGAGTTTTAATTGAAGTAATATTATAAAATTTAAGTTTTAGTTAATATATGAGATAAGAGAAGTATGGCTTTCCGATCTAAAAGGATAATTTGATCTTAAAAGCTGAAGTTTTATAGTTTAAAAAAAAAAAAAATTAAGAAAAAGATATTAATTACAACTTTTAAAATTAAAATTTTTAATTAATAAGATACGCGACTATAAATATATAGTCACTTGTGCGACTGTGTTTAACGTTACTCTTTTAAAATTTTACTTTCAACGAGTTTGTCTTACCGGGATCCATGCTATATAGATTCTAATCCCATGATCTCTTTGTTGCCCGGAAATGTAATTGGGTTACACTATTTAAAGCCGGAATTGTTCCCAAACTTATTAGGCAGAGAAAGATGATTTGGTTGTTTTTGACAGGTAGCACATGTTTCTCGCTTGCCATCCATAAATAGTTTAGTTTCTCTTTCTTTGAGTCATCATTTATTTAGTTTATGTTTTTTCATTGAATGTGACAACTAACTTCAATAAAGTTCGTCCGACCACCTTTGCTGGTGGTTCTCGTCATGTCCCCCCAAATTCACGAGAAGTGCAACAATTTGTTTGAAGAAAAATTTAATTGAGTCAGAGTAATAGATATTGTATCACTAATTTATTAAATATTAATATTTAATATTATAATATATTATAATAAAATATTTATATTTATGTAATAAAATATAATTAATTGATGATACAAATAATAAAATATTAAAAATAAAGGAAGTCTTTCTTATTTATGTAGATGTAAAATATTGTTTTTAGATATTTAATTATCTTAAAATATTTTTAAAGAAATACTTTCTTTATCCCAAAAAAAATATTACGTTTGGTCTTAAATTAATAGCACCAGGCTTCAATAAAGTTCGTCCTACCAGACTACCACCTGCTGGTTCTTGTCATGTTCCGCCAAATTCATGAGAAGGGCAATAATTAGTTAACAGTAATTCTTGTTTGTTTGAATTTAATTGGACAGATTGCAGTGATGTTATGGTATTATCTTAATGATAAGATTCAATTAAAGCACATAATGTTATTAAAATAAAATAATTATATTTATGTGACATAATATAATTAGTTAGTGGCACATATAGCATGAAATAATTAATTAATAACACATATATAAAAGTATTAAAGGTGAAAGAAGTCTTTGTCGTTTGTGTGGATGTAATATATATATATATATATATATATATATATATTTTGGTATTTGATTGTCTTAAAATTTTTATAAAAAAAAATTATTAAAACTTAATAAAAATAATCTACTCACTACTTTTTGACAATTTATCTTAGAAATATTTATTAATAATCTCAACCTCAATCTCAATCTCAACTTCAACCAAATGCCCAAAGAAAATATATATATATATATATATATATATATATATATATTACGTCAAAGTGCAACATCCAATAATTTTTTTTTGGACGCTGGTGCATAGATGATATAAGAAAATGACAAACTAAACTAATAAAGAATGCAACTAAATCAACCTTCATCAGCGCCACAAACTTGTCAAAAATGGTAAGCGGCCTCAAAGTCTCCAACTTTCAAATCAAATAGACGTGTCAAAAATCAAAGGTGTAATTTGACAAAGATAAAAAGCAACATGTGTAAGTGAGTGTCTGACTGTCTGTAACTGTGTTTTTTATCGATATAAAATAAATAAATAAATAAAGGAGGATAAAAATGGGCAAGAGAAGATAAAAATGGAACGCCAATAGCACAGCTCCTTAGTAGAAATTAGGCCAAATAACTTTATATTTTAAAGGGTAAAGTACACTAAACCCCTTGAACTATGCTTCAATTACAAGAAATCCCTCTAAAATAAGTAAAATTCTCTAAACTATGACTTTGTTGCAATAGTTAGTAAGCCGTTAACAGAAAATATAAATTACCGTTTAACCCTTAAGTTAAATGACGCATTTTGTGTTATATCCAACTTTATAGTAAAATTGGGTGTAATGTACAAAAATACCCTCATTTGAATCTGCCACCTCATAATAACTAGGCATTTATGTAATTTTAAAAAACCTACAAAGCTAACTTCTCTCTGCATCTCTCCTCCCCTCTCTTCCCCCTTCATGTTTTTTCCAAACCCTAAATAAACGTCGCCGCCGCCGCTGCCGCCATATGCCCAAACCAACGCCGCCACGATTTGAGCAAGCTTTTGCCATTGACGCGAAAATTCGATGGGTTTGACAGCGCCACCATATGCCCAGACCAATGTCGCCGGAATGAGCTCGCCGCGACGATGAGCTCAGAATGTTTGAATGGTCGGCAGCCAAGAGCGTCGACGTACCCATCGGTGACAGACGACAGAGGTGGTGAAAAAGAAGAATCGATGATACGAGAGCTTGAACGGTGGTGGAAAATTAGCTGACTGGTGAGGACGCAAGCGGGTTTGAACTGAACGGAGTTGATGCACTTAGAGTGGGGCCTGAATGGCGATGACGGATCTGGCGACCAAGGAGGAGTTTGGCGGTGATGTACGCAGCTAGAAATGGGTCATGTACAGCTGATAACTTTGGCTGTCAGCTGTGAGCTTGGAACGGATTGAACGGCGGCAGATGAGGCGGTCGAGTGGTGGTTTGGTAAATTGGAGGCGTCACGACCCTTGGAGAGAAGGGGATCGATGGAGGAAGAGGGTTTTGATGGTGGAGTAATCGGTGGTGGCGGCGACGGCGCCTCCATTTTCTCCTTCATCGATTTCTGCTACTGATTGTGGGTTTGGGGATAGTGGGGGTGGTGGCATTTACGGATGGTGACGAGGTGAAGGCCCGGTGGTTGTCTTTTCTGTTAATTTCTACTGCTGATTGTGGGTTTGGGATAGTGGTGGTGGCGACGTCAGTATGGTGTGGTGTGGTGGTGCCACGACAGTTGTAAGGTGGGAATGGTGGTGGCGTCGCGACCGTGTAAGGTGGGAATGCTATAAGGTCAAATTTGTTTTTTAAATTTTTTTTGCCCTATCAAGTGACCCACGTGCCTCAATTTCTGTTTGATTTCTAACGGACTTAAATATTTTGCAACAAATTGAATTGTTCAGGGGGTTAAGTGTATTTGTGATAGTTCAGGAGAGTTTTGTGGGAGAGAGAAAAAAGTTCCGAGGGTTTAATGCACTTTACCTTATCTTAAAACATAAAATTTGATTGGCTCAAGACATCAAAGAGGCTCCAATGTCATGCTATCAATTTAAACATCAGTACGTGCCACAACATATAGCGGTCATCTTCCAAACACTTTTTTCTTTATTTGAAATTGAAACCAAAGGGGTCCATATTTAGTCATTGTGTTCACACTTTGTCTTCTCCTTCATCAACAATGCAGCATCGAGAAACTCACCCATAGCTTTGACAGAAGACCCTTTGAAACCCTCCTCATCTCTAGTGGCATCTCTAATCATCTCCTTAACCTCACAAGCTTTCCTCCTCATTTCCTTTCCTTTCCTTCCTTCCTCACTCATCACCAACTCTATCTTCTTCACCAAATCTTCATGCCTAACCTCAAAACCAGTCCCTCTCGCCACCTCCACACAAACTCCAACCTCTTCTTCCAAAAACTTGGAATTGAAGAATTGCTCAGCCTGCATTGGCCAACCCATCAACGGCACGCCACGGCTCAGCGCCTCCAGCACCGAGTTCCACCCACAGTGAGTCAAGAAAGCAGCCACGGACTTGTGGGACAAAATCTCCACCTGAGGTGCCCAATTTACAACAATCAGCCCTCTCTTTCGATCCTCCACGCGCTCTACAAAACCTTCAGGCAACCATTTTTCGGCTTCAAATTTCGAATTAATATCAAATCCTAAAGGAGGCCTAACAACCCATATGAAACTTTTTTCACTAGCTTCTAACGCTCTTGCCAAGTTCATCATCTGTGAGGCTGATATTGTGTTCTGTGAACCAAATGAGACATAGAGAACAGAACTTGGTGGCTTTGCGTTTAGCCATTCGATGCATTGATCAAGCTTGATCCCGAATTCTCTACCGGTTCGAGCTCGGTTGTCTACCGATAGAAGTATCGGCCCAATTGCCCAAACCGGTCGGCCAATTTTGCGATTGAAATAGGCTAATCCAATTCTGTCGAGTGCTTCAACTGTGTTGAACAAAATTCCATCGGCATTCAACCATGCCGGAAGAGTTTTCAGTTCAAAAACCGACCAACGGTCAGTACCGTCGGCCACTACCATACTGGGGGCCAACTGGGTGACGTGAATTTCACCGGCTTCGGGGAAATCTGGCAACGAGAACTCGAGCGAGTTCGTGTTCCGGTGAGGTAAGCCCAGCCAGATAGAGTAGTAGCAGGCCAACCCGAACCCGCCCGCTCCGCTGAAGATGGCGCTGAAGATGCCCAATTCGCGCGTGACGTCAGCGGTCCAGCCGAAGAAGATGTCGGCTATGACGCAGAGCGGCGGAGCACCGCTGTCCTCCGCCGTGAGGTCGAGGAGGAGCTTTCGGAAGGCGGGTTTGAGAGAGAGCGAGGCTTCGAAGAGGGTGATGATGTCGGTGTAAGGCAGGACGTCGGTGTTCTCGATGCCCGGAGGGAGGCTGTGGTCGGCGCTGTTGAATGGGATTTCGAGGAGGCGAATGGAGGTGTTTGGCGGGAGAGAAAATTGGAGTTTCTTGATGTTGAGAGGGGTGTTGATGAAGGTTATGTTGTAGCCTCTTTGCTCTATTTGGAGGGCTAAGGCCAAGAAGGGTATCATGTGGCCTTGTGCCATGAAAGGGAATACTACTACATTTTCTTTTCTCTTTGCCATTTTCCGGGAAAGTGGATGGGAGAGGAAAAAGAGGAGAGAAAGAGGAGCATAGATCTCAATCAGGGTGAGTTGATTTAAATAATGAAATGGGCCTTCCAGAAGAGTAAAAGTAGTGCACTTGTTAGTTCAAATTTTCTCTAATATTGGCCCTGTTTGTGTTGGCTATATTACTTAATTCATTTTCTATCACAAAAGAAAATAATGCACAAAGTAAGCTTTTTCTCCACCTAATTTGTGTTTAAAACATATTCATGCGTACGTACCATCTTTGTAATAGAGACAAACTTGGGATCTTGTGGCTTTCCATTTGTTTTGACCTAATTGCTCTTTCTAATGCCTACAAAAATATTTCCATATTAACTTTATTTTGGATAGCTCATAATATTTCAGGTAATTACGTAGTATCACATTAATGTTTTGAAAGGAGTTAACCTAAAATATTTTCTATTAAACATGAAAACCCATTAGCCAGCTGCATATTATGAGTTGAATGACAAACATGTTGACTGAGGTAAATTACCGGGAAAAAAATTTTGTTACCATTCTAAGACTGTCTTAAATGCTAAGTATATGAAATGCAATTAATAATCTCTTTGAAATTGGACAAAATAAATACATTTTGTCACTATGAAAAAAAAGAAGGGTCTTAGGCTGCCAAAATATCTCCTTTTGTAAAGAGAGTCATGAGTCAAGTCTTGCGTAAGGTAATGGTAGGGTACTTTACATGGATTTAATGTATCAGCACAACTCTAGTCCCTCTCATGCGCACCAAAGCGTCTCGTGACATTAAGCTGCCTAAATATCTCTCTTTTATAGATAAGAGAGTGAAGTCCAACCTAACCTAAGGTAATGTTAGGGTAATATGTGGCAGTTTTATTCACTTCGAATGTACTCTAACGGTTTATTCGCTGGACTTTGGAGTTTAACAAGTTCAAGATCTGAAGTTTGAGTCCCTCTAAGTGTTCTTTGTGGCTAACCCCCACTGCCCCTGCAATGATTTACCTAGTCCGGGTGGTGAGACGCCCTTCTAGGTTATCGGGGATTAGTCGAGTTGTTGAGGGGTCCTAAGGGTTCGTGCCATCCCAAACACTCTGGGTTAATTAAAAAAAAATGTAGCAGTTTCGACATAATTTTGTTTTGACAAAAATTTGTGAACATTTTTGTAAACCATGTTTAGAAAATTGTAATTTTTTTTTTCAATACAAAAGTGAAGTCAAAAGCATTTCTGGACTTGTTGAAAGAGTGTTGGGAGCCGCCCAAGGTTTTGAAGAAATTTGAACTTTAATTGGTGAGTAATGATATTTGCACTAAATAATTAGGCAAAATTGTTAGACATATTATATTTATATTTGATCGGTCAATAAATGTCAAATATAAGAAAGGTGACTCTCTACTTCCTTATCTCATGCATTAACGACCAATTAAATATAACAAGTCTAATAATGCTTAACTTTTGGTGTAAGTGTAGACACTAAAATTTTAATTGACTTTTGTTGTGACGAATTGAATCATCAAATATGGGTTTAATGTTTAATTAAATTATTTAATTGCCCAAACTTGATCCACTTAAATTATTTAATTAGTCCAACCCTGATGATTAAATGAAAAGATAATTATTTCTAATGAAATAGATTTGAAATAATTATTTTTAAAGATAATTATCACAATATAACTAGCTTGGCCCAGTTATAATTTTGTCCTTATCAGGAAATGATACATGCCATCATCCTATTAATCCAAGAAGCCTATAAATAAAGGCATGGAGGAAGGAGGAAGGGGTCTAGAAATTGAGAGACTCGGAGTCCAGAAATTGAGATACTCGGAAATCCAAAGGGCCAGAAATCCAAAGGGAGAAAAATAGAAAATTCTAGAAATCCAAAGAGAAATACAGAAGTTCTGTGTAATGACCCGGTCATTTTCCTTCCTTTTTTTTTTCTCAAATTTTACGGATCAATTTTTTTCGTTTAATTTCCTTTTCTGAATTCTGTTTCTTGTTACTGGGTGTTGTCTCGAGTGCTTGGAAATGGTTTCCGAGACTCTTTCATTTGGATTGACAACTTCCTTTAAGGACCGAATCATTTCCACATTTTCGTTTTTTCGACACTATTTACCTTTTGCGTCTTTTTCTCGGTTGTCACTTTGTTGGCACAACCTCACTTTTCATGTTCGGATTTGATTCCAATTTTGCATGTATCCATGATATTTAAATTCCATGTTATGTGTATTTTTACTTTTGTAGAAAAGCATGTTAGTTGTATACTTTCTTCCTTAGGGGTATGGATGCACACTTCTTTGAAATTTTTCGTTCTTTTGGGGTCATTTGTGTAATTATTGTAAAGTAATTTTTTTTCATCTTAGGGACCATTTTGTAATTTAATTTGGAAGATATTTTCAAAAAGGACCTTTTTGCAATTTTTGAAAAGTGTGACAAGTGTCACACTCTCATTGGTCCACTTGTTGACATTTGTGTGGGGACACTTTGATGCCTTGGATGATGACATGTGGAGGGTGGAGATTAAACACTTGTTGACCTAGGATGGGTGCACTTGTTGGCTTGGATGGTTGACAAGTGTAGGCTTAGGATTAAGCCTACAATGGATGCTTGGGTGAGTGACAAGTGTATGCTCCAAATTAAGTCTTGCAATTATTTTTGGGCCACTTTGGGATTATGGTTTTAAAGAAGGGGTTTTGTGCAATTGACCATAGATGTGTGTGTTGACCATGGTGTTGGATCACATAATGAGTGGAGGATTTCTATTTCCTCCACTCACACATTTTCACATTATGTCATTTTCTTCCTCATTAGAACCCTAGCCTCCATGGATGGAGCTTGAAGCCTTAGGCCTTGACCTTGATTTTTGAGGGCCTTCCGTTGATTTCCAAGCTTAACCTTGGTAATACTTTTTGTTCCCATCATCCTCCTCTTCATAACCCTTGAAAGGTTTACCATTTTGTGTTGATTTGCCTTACATTCCAGAGAGACACTTCTCTAGTGAGGTAGGGGGTGTTATAATTTATTTTCCAAGTGCTTTTACTTGCTTTTGTATGAAATACAAGTTGTATGCATATCTCTTGTTAATTTGAGAAATTAATGATCAATTATAACTTACATATAACTCACTTTAGACTTGATATATGGCATGACCTTGACTTGATCTTTGTTGTATATTTATTTGGAACCATTTGAATGAGTTTTCAAATATAGAGATTTAATGAATTTAATTTGATTTAAATTCTAGTAAATTGTGTTTTACTTGTATTCCATTTTAGACTTGATATATGGTATGACTATGACTTAGTGCTTGATATATATTAATTTGAGATTATTTGAATAATCTTTGAAATCTAGAGATTTAATTAATTTTAAATTAATTAAGTTATACATGTTTATATCTTGCTCGTTTTGTGAAATTGATGTGATATTTGCAATCACCATGGAATGGACTTTCACATATATTAGTGTTCTAATGATTTGGTCATCTATTTCATGGGGCTTTTGCCTTTTAATCATGTATTGTGACTTGTTGCAACTTAGCCTTATTAATGTAGTTAATGAACTCGCACCCTTACATTGGAATGATTTAATTGTTCAAGTGTTGTTAAACAAATAATTAAATCATTAATCTTATGCTTGCGGTATATTTACTTCAGTGGATTCCTTGTGCTATATATCTTGGTTCTAATCTATATAGATGCATACTATGATTTCTTGACATTTCACATGCTATTATAGTTGAGAACTTAGGGCATGATTTGTGTATTTCCAAAATCTTGGTTGTGCATGGAATGTGGTTTAATGCATTACTTGTATCTTGATATACTCTTGGTTGCACAATTATTAATTTTGGAACTTGGGATATCAATCAAGAATTGACATGGCTAGGACTTGGTTCTAGTACGGGAGATAGAGAGCTCCCTACACTATAGTGCGCACTAGGGGAAGATACCCATGGGTTAGTAGCCCTAAAGTGATCCCAAGAGTACGGTTTTAATCCGGGCAATATCCGAGTTTCCACATTGGTTGATTTCACTCTTTAAATTTCAAGTTACTATTCCTTGAAGATTTAAAACTTGTCGTATATATGGAATGCTCCAATCTTGTTTATTTGCATAGATATTATGCCTTGTTCCTAATTTCAAGTATAACCTTTTCGTGTTAATTGGAATGTTCCAATCTTGTTTCATTGCATAGATATTATGTATTGTCCTTGATTTCATGTATTCAAGCATTTTCTTGTCGTGTTGTATGAATTATTTCAAACCTTGTTCAATTACATTGATAATGTGATTTGTGTTAATTCATAAACTTGTCGCGTTCTTTGGATTTTCCCAATCTTGTTTCATTGCATTGATTTTATGCTTCATCTTTGATTTCACTCCTTAAATTTCAAGTGTTGCATTCCTTGAAGATTTAAAAAACTTTTCGTATTCTATGAAATGTTCCAACCTTGTTTAATTGCATAGATATTATGCATTATCCTTGATTTCATGTCTTGTCCTTGTCGTGTTAATTGAATCGTTTTAATCTTGTTAATTTTCTTAGTTATCTCATTTCATGTTACTTTATGCTATCGTGACTTAGGAATGATCCTATATATGTAACTTGACTTAGATTCTAGGTGGCATGGACCACTTGTAATGAGTTATATCAACATGTAAAATCTTTGAACCCTTATATTTCAAGTGTTATCTCTTGAAGATCTAATAACCTTGTCGTGTTGTATGGAGTATTTCCTACCTTGTTTAATTGCACGGACATTTTGCTTACTTCGTGTATTTAGACCTCATTCAGCATGCTTGAAACTGTGCACTTGCTTCTTGTATCTAGATTCCATCTAGTATACTCGTGTCTTCTACACTTGCCTTGAATGATTCGAATCTCGTTAGTATACTTGTGTTTTGTATACTTACCTCGCATGTTTTCATCTCCGTTTAGTACACTTGTAACCGGTATGCATTTATGTCATGTATCTCAATTCAATTGCATGAGTAGCTTAGGATGCTCTCTGAGTCTAACCTTTGACATAGACATTAAGTGGCATGACTCTTTTGAATTATTTTCAAGTTAATGTAAAAATCTTTAAAGAAATCGAGTC